CTAAGAACAGGTTCGCACGAACCGGCCTGAACTTCTACCCCTGCCTTGGGTGAAACTCACAACAAAGACCCTGAAAAACAATTCTCTTTGCAACACTTTGTTTACAGAAGGTAAGGAATCGAAGTAGCTTAAACGTCTCCACAGAGCTGCATCATCATCACATTTTTTGGCTCAAGGGAAGCACTGTTTTCTTCCTCTGTCTGTTTTCCTCCTTAATCAACATCATTTTTTGCTCTCTCATCCACCAGTTCGTTTCGTGTTAGCTATATTATCTTCTCCCAACCCTTGGATAATGGCTGTGTGCGACATCTTAGATCTAAACTGTATGCAAATACAAATGCATCCCAGATGATATAAGTACAAACATCAATCAAAACATTTGTAATGCAAGGCGTGGGGTTGGATTGATACAGATTAGTGGTTAGAGGAGTTATAATAATGAGGAAAGCACTGTGTGCCGCGACTGCTCTGGCTCGGCCTGAGTAACATAGACTTGAAGTGGAGTAGAATGGAAATGCACCCCAGGTAATTAGATATTTCCTATACATCAGAAATATCAAGATTCATTTACAGTAATATAGTGTTTGTAATACTGTATTTTACTCCACTATTTTCATGCCATAAAATGAAACTTTGGGGAAAAAACTTATCAAAAATTGAGGTTTCACTACCTCAAAATCTTCATCTTTGTGTTACAGTAATATCCAACTATGTGGTATGAATGTTAGCTGGTATGTTAATAAATCAAAATATTTATATCTTCATGTCCTCTAATTTTGAAGTAATTTTCGAGAAACTTAAAAATAATTTCTTAAATCTCAATTTAACAAAAATGTTGAATCCTGGTACTCCTTCATTAAACTCTGACTCTCTACATTTCAGAACCTCAGACTGTACTGATCCAATGTTATTGTATCAAGAAATAATGGAGGCCCGACAGACTCAGTCCCTTCTCTCAGAGAGTGATGATGATGATGTCACAACCTCAGACACTGAAGATGAAGAAAATGGAGAAGAGGACCAAAGTGCTGAAATAAAATATCATGAAAAAAGAAGGAAAAAAGTAATGTAATAATTTAAATTTCGAACAATAAGATTTGTTAACTTTAATTTTATCTTAAATCAAATGCATTTAAGTTCTTTAAGGTATTCTAATACATCATATTTAGAAGTATAAAAAATTTTCTTTACACTTTCTACATGAAACATTTCATAAAAATATACTTTTTAGTTATTTTCAAAAGAAGGATGCTTAAAATATGACATGTATCTTTATTGCTTTGAATAAGCTTATCATGTTTAGACAATCATATTGTATTAAGAAACAGTTATTACTTGGGGTGTAATATAATATTTTTCTGTTTACTAGATTGAGAAGGCCCTGTTCAAACTAGACTTGTGCATTATAAACTCCAAAACTTCTAAGAATTTTATTTCATTTTCTATTAATAAAAAAAAACATTGTATAACACCTTTAAAATCTAGCTTAAATGTGTGTTTCTTATATTTGTAATTTATTTAGAGTCTAGAGAATAAACCAACTAAACGAAAGCGACTACAGTCTCGAGAATGTACTTCTAGTACCTGGATCAAACAGTGTCTTGATTTGATAGAGCTTATATTTGAATGTGAAGACTCAACTCCTTTTAGGCAGCCAGTTGACCAATCAGAGTATCCTGTGAGTTTATAGGATTTTTCAAAGTATTAAAAATTATCAAAGTTTCTTAAAATTTTTTAGGTTTAAAAGGCTCATCTTCACTAGAGCTTTTGTTGTAAAGGAGAATTGGTATATAGCGCTTTATCAGTTTTTCTTTCGTTGAGAGAATCTGCCAGTTGATATAAAAAGTGTACTGCTTGCTTATATGTCACAACAGTTTTTTCATGTATAATATCTTTGTGTTTTAGGACTACAGAGATATTATTGACCACCCCATGGATCTTAGCACAGTGAAAAATAAGCTACAGACTGGAAGTTACGGCAGTCCTGTGGAATTCTGTAAAGATATGAGACTTATCTTTCAAAACTCCAGGAATTACAATACTAATAAGAGATCAAAGGTACAGATTTTATTTTTATGTTATTAAACATTATTTGGGAATATTTATTAATACAAGCAAAAGTAGCATTGTTAGCCTTGACAAGCTTGAGGCCACATGCTAACAGATTTCACTAACAAGTAGCTTGTTAGTGGGGAGTTTTAAGTCTCCTCCCCCAAAGATGTTCTAAAAAAATTAAGGCTCAAGTGAGGTGCCTAACTTTTATTTTAAGAGATTAAATATAATTCAATTTGTTGCAATTTTATAAGAGAGGGTAAAAAAAATTGAAATGTTATTTTAATTGCTAAGTTATTTAATTATTAAATCCTTAAACCAATAATTTTTTGCATATCTGCTGAGATTGTTTTCATGATGTCCTATTAATTATCACCTCACCTTATAAAGTTTCCGGTCCACTTATAAAAGGTGGATAATAACATGGTTTGGATTAGATTTCAGCCAAAGAGACATAAATGTTATTGGATGCTGTCACCATCTGATGGGAAAATCAGGATTTCTGGCCAGATGCTGGTAGTGTCTGTTCAGATTTAAGGAGTTAATCAGAACTAACAATTGAAAGTAAAGAAGTGTATAATAATATGTAAACCACAATATATCTGCTATATCCAGTGTTGATGGGGCCTTTTGCAATAGATAAATTACTCAAACATGCAATTTTAATCATTGTGAAAAATGTTTTTAACAGCCATGTGTGTGAATATTTTAACAGATCTATGGAATGACAATTCGGTTATCAGCAATGTTCGAAGAGCACATCAGAGGAATTGTCAGTGACTGGCGTTCAGCAGTGAAGTATGAGGAAAAGGTCCGGAACAATCAATATGTCAGTAATCGTAGAAAGCCACTACAGCTGTCAATTGCTGATTGGTCTCATCCATCAGGAAATCATCCTGCTTTAAGGAGTGCATTAACTTCAAGTCAAGGTCGACAAGAACCATCGAGTGTTGCGGCCAGCCATTCTCGCTGGGTGGCCGAAGGAGAAGCTAGTTCTTCAAATGGTGGAGAAGGGAGTAAGTGTAAAGCTTCAACGGTTTGATCTTGATTAACGGAAAGAATGTAATAGGGACAATAGTAACTTTCAAACTGTGTCATGCATAATTTTTAGTATATTAAACACGTTTGCTACCTATTTTTCTTGAATTATTTGTTTCAGCTGGCCGAATGCAGAAAATATTTTTTTGATCGTTGAAATTAGTATATAATTAAACAGTACAGTCTTGTAGAAGTAAAAAATTAAAAATATATTAAGTTTAGGCACATTTTACTTTAGTTTAAATTTTATATTTCTCATTATTTTTTAATCTATTTAATTATTTATTTTTTAGCTTCTAAGAAAAAAAAGGGGTCTCAGATCCTAAAAGAGGGTGAGAAAAAGAAGTTAGAAGAAAATAGTCAGATAAATTTCACTTCAAAAATAATAGAAGAAAACACGTCTACCTCTAAGGATTTTTTGGGTAAGTAGATCGTTTTTTTATTTGATTTTATAAAGAAATTGTTGACCTTAAATGTCAAGATACAGATAGTTAAACCATCTTGTATTTTCTTGCTTCTGGAATCTAATCAAAGCTCTTTTTATACATCTTCCTTCTAAGTGCCCATGTAATATCCTGTTTTTAAGATTTAGTTATTGTTTCCAGAAATATTTTGTGTTTAGGTTTTGCTTTATTACTTCCTTTTAACAGCAACTCATAGAATGGCTCTGAGGGTTTTTTTTTTTTTCAAGTACAAACTTTTAGCTCATAGCTTCATCATCTCTTCACCAATTAGAGATCCAATTACAGTTTTGGACTCGGGTGGTAAATCCCATTTGAATGATATATTTGACCACGTTATAAAAATCATGTACAATTAAGTTTTTAATTTCTTTATTAAAGTCGATATATATTACAAAAAAAAGTAAAATTTTACAAAATTTCTTTTAAGAGGAAAGTTGTTTTTACCAACTAGAGATATGTAACTTTCCACGTCATAATTATTATTATTTTTACTTAGGAAAACACATAAGTAATGGTGTTGTGAAGAAAAAACGATCTCTTCGTTCTTCAGCTGATACAAGCAGAAGAGAAAGTCCTGTTTCCATTGATGCTCATGACAGTGATCGTGATCAGTCTGAAGATGAAAATTTACCATCTTCCAGTAAGAAAATGGAGAGAAACAAGAATGTTTACGTACCACCAAATAATGACCATAGGTATCATAAGCAAGACATTAGCAACGAGTCTTTGAAAAATAGAAGTGATCTAACTGATGAGGATCATAGAAAGTCTAAGCGACGAAAGTCAGCAAAAAATAAAGTAGACAAATGTGAAAGTTCCTGTAATGTAAATCAAAGGGACACATCAGGTTCTGAAAGTGAAAAACAGCCTAGTTCTTCAGCATCGAAACGAATGTTGTCAAGAAAGAGAAAACATTTCTCAGATTCCAAAACTAGTCAGGATGGCAATACATCTGAGGACAGAGTTTCAAGAAGAGCAATGAAGAAAGCAAACCTTCATCTTGATGAAGATTCTCAAAGTGATGAAGAAGAAAGTGATGGAGAAATAACTTTGAAATTACCTAAAGGTTCACAAAGGAATATAAAGAATATCAGTAAAAATTTAAAAACAGAACATTGGGATGAAATGACGTCTACAGAAGAAGAGAGTGAAGATGAACCAAGAGACAAAAATTATTTTGGAAAGAGAAAGAAGTTCAACAAAATCATACAATCAGAAGATAGTCTTTCTTCAGAAGAAGACGATTGTAGAACAGAAAACAGTAAAATAGTAGGAAAATCTGTGAAAGAATTAAGACCTTTAAACAAATCCTCAAAAAATTATAATGAGAGTAGACAGATGTGTAAAGATAAGCTAAGGGGTTCAAACTCTCAAAAATCTAATCCTGAATTATCAAGATACAATGTGAGAATTTTAAGGAATCCAACACAATCTAAAAATGCTTTTTCAGATGATTCTAGTGATAAAGATAGTAGTGATAGTGAATCAACATCAGATAGTTCCGAGTCCAGTGAAAGTTCTAGTGACTGTAGCTCAGATAGTGAATCTGAATCTAGAACAAGTGAATCTCAGGAGTTGTCTAATTCCAAAGGTTATTCTAGTGCTAGAAAAAAAAGTGGGATTAGGCGCTCATCACGAACTGCCACTCGTAACAGCACCAGAGCTACACGAAGTGCCTTAACCCCTAGCCAGTCATTAGAAGCTCCTTCTAGACGGTCACGAAGGATACAGACACGCAATAAAAAAGTTCACTACCAAGAAGACTCTGAACAAGAGTATGAAAGTAGTCAAACCAATGAGAGCATTGACTCTCAGGTGCGAGAAGCCCTATCAGTGAGTAGTCGTGGTCGTGTGCGCAAACTTTCTCGTCATGCAAGGGCAATGATTGCTGAATAGAATATGACTAAAAGAGTAAAAGCACTCTTCCTCTGTGATTGAACTAATACATTTTTTAATCATTCATTGTCATAAATTTTCCTTTATGTTCCATATGTGCCATTACAGATAAGTCATCCATGGTTCGTTCCTTTATCTATCTAAGGAACAACATTTGTAATTTTGATGCATAATTCGTATGAAATATGATTGTGAAAAGAAACATGTTGCATTCCTTCCAAGTTAAAAATGTGTAAACTATGAAATAGATTTCTGTTTGAAAAATGATTGACTAGCCTTTCTCAGGGTAGGAAAGGAATTTGATTAAACACATGTTAGGAAGCTCAGAAATATCTTTTAGTAAAGAAAACAATAATAGTTATTAATAATTTTATAAAATTTGTATTCCATGTAAGTCACCTTTGTAACATAGCATTGTTCAATTTGATTCTTTGAATGAAACTTTTTAATATCTTCACAATTTTCTATTACACATGTGGGGACCAAAGTAACGATGAGTATTGATGGAACTAGTTATGTATATTAATGTGAAATTAAGAGCTTTGACTTGTTTTGCTTATCTTTTATAGTATTTGTTTTTTCCATGAACCTCTTCTATAACTAAAAGACAAAAACAATCTCATGTTTATATTTCCAGTTGTTTATTGCTAGTTTTTTCATCATATTCTGCAAGAAAATTAACATTTTTGAGGTTAATTACAGTTGTCCAAACTAATATATAAATGCTCATGCTGCTTGATCTAATATCAAATGTCTTATGACTAATTTTTGTAACAAAATTCATGATGCAGTGTCAATTCAGTTTGTTCATTTCTGTTGGGATCTTAGAAGGAACTTGCTTATCATTTACCAAGCAAACTTATAAACTCATAGGCAACCGCTAGTAGTAAAAAAAAGATTAGCTGAAAAACTGAAAAGAAAAACTAGGAAAATGTAACAGTATTGAAATATTTTAAATATATCTAATGTTGTTCTGAGAAATGTTAGCTAAAAGCTTTATAATGAAATATATCACATGAAATCTGATAAAAATCGAACATCAGTTTTCTTCACTGTAACTACTATTATTATTGTTTATTGGGTGACGAGAACCTACTAAACAAATCCTAAGTATAGTTCTACAACTAAGTAGTTATTAAGATTTGGGCATTCTGAGTCTACTGCAGAAAGTATTTTTAAGTTATCTATATGATACTCATCTTCTGTAATTTTTTTTTCAAGGCTAATGTTTTGTTTTTGATTTTTTTTTATAATCAAAATCTTGCAATTATAAGAAGAGAAAACCGTTGTATTTAGTTACAGAAAATAATAATGATAAGCCTGGTTGCCATTTGACTGTGTATTGACTTACAAATAAGAACAACAGATATCTTAACACTTGTTAAATTACATCATGTTCTCTAGAAAATATTGTTACTGTTCCAGTTGTATTATTATTGATTTGATATAAAAAAAAAATATGTATAGGAAAAATATTTATATGTTTAGAATTGAAGAAGCTAGAAAGATACATTTGAAAATTACCTCCTGTGCTAGAATTGTGTATCATAAGTTTATCAAAAATTATTGAAAAATTTAAGAAGGTAATAACACATAACCTTAATTATTGTTTAAAATAAACTTTTACTAGGAGCTATAGCATGATAATCAGTGGATCATATAATGTGTTAAAAAAAATCAGCATAATTTATAGCTACAGCAATTTATTGTTGTGGCAGTCTTTCTCTTTGTAAATGTATCATGAATGGGGGGGTGCACCAAAGAACAAAAAATAATGTAGTAAAACTTACATTACCTCTGTAAATAAAGTTTATGCAAAAATATCTTTAAATAGTTCACATCCTTGTATTTTCTTGAGGGAGAAGACATTTCCTCATTATTACACAATTTAAAGATTTGCCAGGAATGAGAGATTGAGATTATGTTTGATGGGACTCCACAAAAAATATTTTCTATGACTTTATGGAGTACATTCTCATTGAAAAACGAGTATTCTAAACTAATAAACAATGTGGGTAACTTATTCTCAACTGTAATGACCTATAACCATGAACTCTTTTAGAACAGTGGTTACCAATCTTTTTAGAGACCGACAGAATTTTTACTGACTAGTAATTAAACACAACATAATTAAAGGTTTTGATGTTAACTAAGTTTACCAACTATGGAACTTTCATGTTTTATTAAGTGATAATTTTGTGGTCTTTATAACCTCCGTTTATAATGCACCATGTGGTCAAGTAACTTTTAACCTCCTTTTTTTTTGTTTGACTGTCATTTGCATCATAATTTATTCATTAACAGGATTGAAATATGTATGTTTATAATACTGATGATAAAATTCATGAATTTTGTTAATTTACTACTTTTTGTACAGCAAAATGCCACAAATAAAGCATTTGATCAAACATAATGAGACAAATACTATTTTGAATGGCATAATAGCTTTTGAAGAGTGTTATAATAAAGTTGTTTTTGTTTAACTCGAGTTCAAAGACTGCAAGTCATCTCAATCTAGGAGCCATGAGACTAATATTTTGACACTGTGAGATTCAGGCCTCACTTGTGTCCCATAGTTAATCTGAAAATTTCCGCAATACTCTACATTCAAGAAATGTTATGCATACCATTCATTTCCTGCCTTCTTGCATTAATGTAGAATTTTTTTGTTTAGTCTGATTCGATGCAGTATCCACATAAACACATGATCCAGAAAATCGTTGAGGTACTTTCATGCTAGCTTCCTTTGTTGTTCTTTTGGAGATAATACCTGTTTTGCCCATGGAGGTATTGCTGCAGCTTTGCACATTATGCAAGCAGGTCAACAACAACAATGTCCTTCACTGGCAGAGTTGATGATACTTGGAGGTTATGACCATCACGAATTTGCATGAGAACAATCAAGTTTGTAGCTGATACTGATGTGTAAATCTGATATTTCCTGTTAAGTAAGGAGCATTGGATTAAATACAGTTCTACCTGGTTTTTAACATGAGTCACTTGATGTAGACTTCTTGCAAGACTAAAACTGCTGACTGATTCACTTATCCGGTAGAATGTGACAGTCCTGTATCCTATGCAGTTACGCACACTGTATTTTTGATTTTGCTTTGTGATATCAAGATTATTTTACATTGTAAATCATGTGTTTATTCTGTTTATTATTTTGGGTTAAAACTCGGTAATTTAGTCAAAGCTCCCTATATAAAGCAGAACTACCTGATACTCAGTTAATCTAAGAATACCACAGAATAAGTAGGAATAAGAAATTTCAGTGCCATGACCACGTGATTTACTGTGGAGTTTCTTGTTTTTGCCAAAATTTGTATTGGTTATTACTTGGTTTCTTGAGTTTATACTTCTAACTGAAAGAATGGCTTATTGTCAAAATAGAAGTGTCTGTGACCAAGAGAGAGAGTTTGATGCTGAAAAAATTTGGTTGGGTGAAATAAGTGAGTCCAGGAAAATTCCCTTTCTGGTTATAGGATTGTTGCTGATAGCCTACAATTTTAGACTCGGGAAAACTGGCACACCAAATCTTGTCCCTGAAGATCCATTTTGACACGAGGGAAGTGAGGAAAACTGAGGGTTGCATAGATGGAATGGTGCTTGGGAAGAGCATTTGAGAAGGTCTGTATATGACTCCTAGTCTATCAGTAGCTAGAGTACAAGTGTCCCAGGTCTGGTCAAGACCAGTCAAAAAGAGCTATAAGTACCATTGGCAGACAACTTCTGCCAGTCAGAGCTATTACCCCAGCAAATGATACAGTGGGCAGACATAAGTAAAGACTATGAACCATGGGTTGGTCAGCCTCTTGAAACAAGATGTATCCTGCAATGATAACCATGGTTGTGCAGAGCTATATAAAAAGTTGGCTCGAGCAACTCTTCAATCTGCCATACTAGACCACTGACTGATTAATATCCCAAGAGTCGAGTCCCTGTGAATGTCTGCACCTACAATATCAGTCGCATTTTAGCCAGGTATTGGCTGAGAACTTGAAAGCGAGAGGCTTTGTCCAACACCACGATTCCCTGCAACTGAAGGAAAACAGATTCTGCCTCCAAAGTTCAAAGGTGTGACAAAAGAATACCTGGACCATTTCTTGGAGTGTTTGAGGCAGGTAATTGCCTAGAATGGCTGAACTTAGGAGCAGGTAGTTCTATGCCTGATCTTCAACTTAGAATTTCTGACCCTAGATGCCATCAAACATCTGAATGAGGCTCAACAAGAGGACTTGGACACGGTTGTAGTTCAGTTGTACTGCTGACTCAGCCTTGTGGAAGAATGGGTGATGCATTAGGCTGAGTTAAAGACTCGAAGGAGAACCTGCAATGAAGGTTTGGCTGCTTATGTGGATGATCTTCACTAGTTGTACAGTAAGGCACACCCTGCAATGATAGAAGCAGATAAAGAGAACATCCTTCATAGATAAGCTTGTTTATAGAATTCTCAACAAAATCATGAGGTATCACTGAGTGTGAGCAACATCCTCACTCTTAAGGGAAAGCTACACAACAACAAGATAGACTGTCCTACTCGGGCACATCCACCACATTGAACTAGAGCAACACTGAGGGTAAACCAATTATCCACACATTTTGATACTACATTGTAACCATACTCTGTCCCACTTAATGGGCAGGGCTACCCTTGGGGAACAAGCCACAGCCTATAACAATGATGCCTCTGCCTGGACATTGCTGAGACAGGATAAGTGAAGCTTTTGCTTTGCTTGTGGTCTAGTGAGACGCTAACAGATGAACTACCCATGCTTCATCGAGCAGCAGGGCTATCAGTTTCATCAGATGTTAACCAACTAACAGTGCCTGTACTTTGCCAACCAGCAAATGTTGAATACTGAGCAATACAGTCTTTATAGAGTGTTTGGGTTTTTCCACTAATGATTATCAGGAAGAAGGGAGGTACCTCAAGGTCATTTGCAGCTCCCGTGAAAGTGGAACCACTTTATGAAAAGAGCAAGAAATGTGAACCAAGTATTACAATAAGACAATGATTATCTGTTGGACACACCAATGTCAGAAACAATGGAATTAAAGTGGTATTGTCATAGTTACAACACAGAGTATAATATGTAATTGTATATACTGCACAATGAAAAAAGAAGTGTTTGCAGTTGTGGTTTTTCTAAAACACCATTGCAACTACTAGTATGGTAGAAAGTTCACCATCCAGGTGCACCATGCTTTGCCGAAATGGTTGTTGAACTTTAAAAATCCAGAAGAGATGATAACACATTGAAAACAATGTTATAAGAATATGATTGGTTTTCAAACGAGACCCAAAACTCGAGCGCTTTCGAATAGTTCACTGTTCTGCTTCTGGAGAATAGAGTGTTTAACGAGTGTAATGAAACATATAGGCACGAATGTGGACATTATTAGTTAGCCTTCTGAGCTAACCAATCATAACCTAGAGTTGTTGGTGTCAGGTTGAGTTTGTGCCAAAGAGGTATGTACAGTACAAAAAAGACTCAAGTGTGATAATAGTTATAAGGAATGTTAACCAATCTTTATAAAGATAAAAATAAAATAACAGCAAAAGAACTTGCCTGGACATTCTCTAGAAGACATTAAACTGATGAGTATAGAAACAAATTTTACATCTAACAGAAACGGAGAAATTAAAGAAGCTTACTGGATAGTGCTATTAAATACTGCATCGCCAAATGGCATCAATCTCGATCCTGGGATTGTTGACCTTCGTATGTCTCTGAAACGATTTTCAAAACTAAATTCATAATTAAATTTACTTTATATTATTAGTATTATTCATGCTTTAGTTTTTCTATATCGGTATAATTTCTTGTGTATTACATCACATTATCATTTTCTCTATTTCCCACTACCTTTTGCTGAACAATATCCAATTTTTTTTGCATCATATTTATATATATATTCAAAATCAAAAATGTACTTAAAGATACAGTTAAAGTCTACGGTTATGTTAAGCAAAATGTATTACACAAAGGAGACGAAAACATACTATAACAAATTAAGCCATGTTTGTGACCCCATATACCAGATATTTTCTCTCAAAGTAATCAGTTAGGGCTTGCTGACTGGAAGTTCAAAGGGAGTTAAGGAGCATGTATCTATTTATCTTTAATTGAATTCATTAATAATAATAAAAAAGAGTCGAATCATGGAGAGTGTACAATAATACCCTTTAGTAATACTATGAAAACTCAATTATACTCACTAACATAAGACAAGAGAAAACAAAGGCAAGAAATTGTACTTTACCTTGCATGGGTGCATACTGAACCAATGAGAGAGAACTTACTTTGTAGGTTTCATTTCCCTTCACTCTCTTGTGCTGTGAATTAAATTAAAATACTCTACTCAAACAAGATTAGTTATAATAAAAGTACAACCTCACAAAAGCTCTAAGAAAAAGATAGGTGAAAACTTTTTCCAATATATTAGTTCAGTTACATTAAATATTAAACATCGAAAGTAAAGTTAAAGTTACAGATCAGGTATAGATTTAAAGTTTAGTAAAATTTCTTTAAAATTCTTTAAACAAAATAGAACCCGGCTTTTATATAAAATGACAACAACAATTTAAGCCAGCTTTGCACATTATTTTTGTCTACTCATGTTGGAGTGAGAGATATCCTGGACCATTACCCAACTCACTGATAGAAATAACAACTTTCCATTGCTATCTTCCCTGCATAAAACTCGAGTAACTGCCAATTAGTGGATGGGGTCCTAGACAGAAAAAAGCAAGAAGTAAAGCTAAGATATGTTTACTTGGATGACATTCCATGTCCAAATTGTACAAAAATACACAGAAACTTACCTATTATCTAAGAAAGTACAAAGCACATGATACAATTGTGGTATAACCAGGTGAGAGTGGGTTAACTTCGGAAATGCACTGTATAGTTCTGCTAGATAAATAACAGGAGATTCACTTAAGATATCAGTTACAGGATAGTACTAAATCTATTACTAAATGAGTCAATGTAAGATGAAGTAACGAGACTGGAAACAAATTTTAAGCAAAATAAACAATCTTTATTCATCAGTAAACACAAATGCTATTTGTGTACTTGGTGTTACTTACATGGAATGATTATGTTTTCTAGGTCACAGGACTGAATACTGACAACCAAGTTCGAGATAATACCACTCACATGATGTTCCAAATCAGATTTACGAGATCATTATGTTCCACGCTATTTCAATGTAAATTTCCTTAGTTTGCTAGTGTAATGGGCACTATACTGTTGGATGAGTAGTTACGCATTATAAATAGTATTTATTTAAACATACCACAAATGAAATTTAATGGCATTGCAAACAGATCAGCAACTCGAGGAAATTTACACACGAATAAGAAACGACTCGGAGGCTTTTGAAATGAAAAATATACAACATTTATTAGAACCAACAAGAATTATACGTCTTCAAAGTGTTTGTTTGCACTAAACATTTCTATACCGTGTATATTTCAACACTTAGGGACGAGAGGTAAGGAACTTTGTGACAATACTTTACAAGCCTAACTTTTAACAAGAACTTTCAGAAAGACCCTAAGAGCTTAACTATACAAGAAAACTAATTTTACTTAGCATTTATATATAATTTTCTGAAGTTATGTGGTCGCTAGACACTGTGCAAGAACTCATGATTTCATGTTGAACTTTATTCAGTCTGATTGCATCATTCCTAGAGCACTCTTGCGCCCAATTCAGGGTTGAGTGCAGACTTTTACCAACTACGTTTTCATTAGAATCATTGTTCTAACTTTATGTCACCTTCAAGTTTCCCTCGGCTTCATTAGGAAACTGTTATTATTCGAAGATTAACAAGTTGTCATTAATCCTTTTGAGAGATAAGTATATAGTTGGATCTTTCCTACAGATTTGATACCTTTCCTTGTATTCTCTGGACAGAAACACTAACCTTGAAATAACATCTTAGTTAAATACACGCAAGAATGTACAAAATAAACACAATGGTAATTACAACAGAAATATGATATAATTTTTCCAGGGGTGGGCAAACTCAAAATCAAGCGACGATGGACCTGCCTTCAAAGTGTTGCCATTACTGTCAAAATGGCCAGGTGGATAAGGCGCTCGACT